ATCCAAGCATGATGCAGCACTTGAACCATGCTCAGATATCCCAGATTCCCCTTTCCTACTTTTATATGTTTTTAATTGCAAGAATTTACAAGTTTTTAGGATCATTAAAGATGAGCAGCTCCTGAATCATTTCTGAACATCGGAGATGACAGTCTTCACCTGATATTTGGGGATAAAATCTATCAAAGTATTTAAAACTGTCTAAAGAAAGACTGCTGAAATTAAATTTTAGTATCCATCATCATTCATACTCCATAATATGGAGTTGTTTTGCTTTTATGTAGGTTCAGAGGGATAAAGGTATACTTGCTTATAGAAAATGAGTGGCAAGTGTGTTCACTGCAGGCAGTAATGAATTGAAATGTTATTCCAAAAATAGTCTAATAAATACAGCCTCTCTGGTACCGATGAAGGATGTAAAAAGTTCTTTTTGCTGCCTAATGAGCAAGAAACATATAATGAGTGTGTGAGTGTTGTTTTAAAAATTACATATGGAGTTGTAATCTAGACCTCTATCAAATAAATTGGTAGGCAAAGAGGGCAGGAGAGCTGCTCCCTTGCACCTAAGGCTCACAAAGTGCCCTGGAAATCTGACGCTGGACTTGGTGACTTTGTAAGTCACTTAAGACTCTATGCACTGGCAATACTCTCAGTGTAATCAGCGAAGACGGGCGCTACATGGGGTAAAATGAGGGCTGTAACAGTGGAAGAAAGAAAGAAATGGTAGAGAAAGGTTAGTTAGTGACTTGTTGCTCCAGGCACAAGATGTGAAGGCTTCACTGAACTCAAATTTCCCCCCAAAACATATTACATTAAGACATACTACATATTATATTAAGATTTTTTTTAAAAAAAAAAAGGTAATTTCAAGGTAAAAGATATTTTAAAAATTTAGGTCTGCTAAGCACACTATAGTAAAGACACAGACATGACTAAAGCTTTCAAACTTAGGGAAATAAAAGAATAAAGACTTATAAAGCTTTAAGTTAACCACCTGAAGCCTAAAAACACTTATCTCCTGGTAAAGGCTGTTGCATGCTGAATCGGGAGGTGACACTACCAGTGACACTATCACACTTACCCAAGCTCAAGCTTGTGTCTGTAACTCACTCACTTCCGACTGATACTGAGATTCCACATATAGACATTATCAGCTAGTGCACGCCTATAGCAAATGTTCTGGATGTCAATTTTTAAAGGTTAACTGCTGAAAGTCTTTGGCGTGAGACCACTTGTTTCAACTCGTCTTCACTCAGGTGCTTCTCAAAAAGGTCAAGCACCTGCTGTAGAATAATAAAAGAGGCAAATAAATCTGGCTATAAACGTTCATCACTGACTGCTATAGCTCCATCACAGGCTTCAGAAAGATATCCCCAATTCACTGAAAATAAAGAGCTAAAGCAAAGGAAATAAAAAACATAATATACATAGAGAGAGGAAGAAACTGAAAAGATGCAATGGGTTTAAAATGTCCAGCAGAACATTGTTTCTTCACCAGCATAATTGCCAACTTCATTTATATTCATTTTTACCAGTGTGTTTTTCACTCACACAAAGCCAAATGTCCTAATGGAATGGATACTTAAATAGAGGTCACATAGTGTTCTGCAGACAGGGGATTAAATTTGGGTTAGATGTTATGAAGATTCAATGCACTTGCACCAATGTGTGTAAGTAGCTATTGCTTCATGGACTTTAGCATTCCCATGTGATCTGCATATCCTGAGATCTGTCTTCCAGAAGTTAGCATGCCTGTGAATATATATAGTTACTAACAGGAGTGAGATAAACCAGGCTACAAGGTGATAAAGTTTATGGTAAACAAGTGAAAAACTAAAAAATGCATTGCAGGACTTGGATGCTCAAGATAAAACCATTCAGTTCACGCTGTATTTTACGACTGTCAGGACTTTCCAAGTGAGCAGATGATTGATGACTGGTATTATCAAAAAAGGAGATGCTTTAGTCTTTTATTTATTTAACCTTTACTGTGTGGGTGAGATTGTGTAGCTGAATCTCTTATTACTTGGAAAAGATTGTATTTTTTTATTTTGTATCAGGAAAGAGTAAGGCTTAGGGAAGTCCTCATATCTGTGGCTATTAAAATGGATCTGTGGTTATAAAAGGAGTTTATGCATCTTCAAGTTTTATTTCCTGTCTTTTCTGCAGGGTTGCCCTCTTTTCCTACAACAACTTCTCTTTAGAGATAAAAAGCAGAGAATATAGAAAAAAATACCTTTCTTGAAGCCATAGAAAAGGTAGACAAATAGAAAATATCGGTATCTGGTTTTAGTGGCTTGTGGTTTGTTTCTATCTAAAGATTAAGTGGCTCTGACATGTATTTCAAATAAATATTTTTAACCTAATTGTATGGCTATAGCAGTAAACAGGGAACTTTTCAACTCAGTACTATCCTATTCAGAGCAAACATAAGCACAAGAATAAATGCACAATTGTGAAAACATCTTAGCACACAATCTTGGACTATTTACAGACTTGAAGTTAATAGTAAAAGTCCATTGAACTTGAGTGTTTTCCAGTCTAAAGGCCCCCAAAAAATAGTGATAACCTGCACAGACAAATACACACTGGGAGGCTTGATGCCTATGAGCTTTTAGCAGGACCTGGACTAAAATGGAATAAGACTAACCTGCATTAGCCATAGCTCTGCTAGGCTCGCATTAATCATGGCCAAGGCCACTACTCGAGGCTTCTGATGCTACTGAGGTTTGGAGCAATGAGCGCACATTCTATTTTAGTTAATAGACTTTACAGAATTTCCCACCAATCCACTTACTGTGGAAAACAAAAAAACACATCTTGTCCAGATAACCTCATACCTGAGAACCTTCGAACCTTTAGGACTGTAAAGTAAACCTGAAGCCTGCCTGAAACAGTGTTTTTACAGAGTAATAATTTACCTCTTTGAACAAAAAATGTCCAACTAGTGTTTCCAGCTTTGATCTGACGAACAGCGTGATTTTAGTTTGGCTGGTTGACTCCTTGCATGCAGCCTACCAGGAGCAAGATGACAGGGCAACATTTGTGGGTCTCTGGAGAGAAATCACCCAAAGAACTGCACACAAATCTGTACATCCCAATCTATTTTGGAGATAAGTAAAGCTACAACCTTCTTGATAACCTTGCTGCTACATTTTCAGTATGAAAATACGTGGCATATAGAATGCCTGGAAAGGGTGGTGAAGAAGGTGAACAAAGTAAAATCTAATTTGAAATGTTAATGCAACGATTGGATTATTTGTTTACCTCTTATTTAATTCAAATTATGCAGGGAGCTGAAGTTTCATAATTTTAGTGACACAAAATTATGTGTGAACTCTGCTACTTTCTTTGTGCCCTTGCTATCAAATACATTGCTGTTATTTAATGGTATTGGCAGAAAAAGTATAGCCTGGAATTGTCGAAAAAGAATTAAGAATGGGATTACTTAGTATGCAAGAGTTCGTGCTCATATTATTCACTCTGCAAACTTTTGCCTTTTATGTGTTTACAAGATTCTTTGTTGATAATAAAAAAAAATTAAATACAGATGGCACATCGTATTTTCACAGTAAGTTTCCTACTTGCAGTTTATTTTTCCTTCTTTTTGAGTGATATTTTGGTGAATGTCTTTTCCAAGAATCATATCAAGTTAGGCAAGAACTGTAACAGCAATCAGAATGTTTTAAACAGAACTGTATTTGGAAATGTATACTGCAGCCTTGCTACCATGCACATTAGAGATGTTTATCCATAACATTTTGACTGGCTAAAACACTACAGCTGGACCTCCATTTGGTGCAACTCATAGTCATGACATTAAACCGACAGAACAAAGTTGATTTTCACCAGCTGATGATTTGACGAGTGTTTACTTAGCTCATTCTCCCCTCAAGTTGATCTGCATCTTTCCTGAACCTCGGTCCTGTCCTGCTATACAAATTTGTCACTTAAAAGCCAAGAAAGCTCCAGTCCAGCTCCCAGAGTGGCGAGGCCTGAAAAGCAGCAGCTCTAGTGGCAACATGACCAGGCAGGGGAGCAGAGCACAGAGAGGACCACGATATCCCTTGCATGTTGGGGCGGGCAGCGGCACTTGGTAGAGTCAAGGAAAAGATGTTGCCAGTGGATTTGTGGATATGCACCTTCCAGAGACCATCCAGATGGAAGACTGCCAAGAAAAGCTTCATTTCAAGTCCTTCTCCTGGGTTAAAGAGGAGATGCCATTCCACAGTGCTGCATTGGCCTGTACCCAATGCCCTTTCGGTGCGATTTAGTTCACAGAATAAAAATTATCTTTAAAAATCCGGAGAAGAAAACAATTCCTGGAATCACAAAATATCCTTAAACACAAACAACCAAAACTGAAAAACTGAGATTGACTATTTGTTTCATTCCCAGCCCCCACACCTAAGGGCCACAGTGCTTGTCAAAGGTGGACTCTCAGAAGAAAGAGGGATGGAAATTTTGACACAAATTTCAAAGATATTCAAAAGAAATTATCCCTTCTCAGCTTTCCTCCTGTGTGAGAATGAAGATTAAAAGGTATTTAAAAGATTTTTTTTGAATTACAAGATATATCTATATATATCTATTTTTTTAATTTTAAAACAGCATTTTTCAGCCTCTCATTCAAATTATTTCTCCTTAATAATTTGAGGGCTTTCTGTTTGTTCTTGCTTTAGAAAACAGATTTAGAAAGGATTAAATAACCCACGGGCAAAGTATCTCATTTCATGTAAACTCAAAACATCTTTTTTCATTCCTCCCTCCTCTCCTCACAACCAGAGGCTGATTCTGGTTTGACTTGAATTTTGCTTCTGATTTTTCACCAAACTGAAAAAAAAAATCCACTATCCGTCCAGCTCTACTAACCAAAAGACTGTGTATAGAAAAAATATGTATTAGAAGGTTGGCTATGAAACTCTTACTACGACTACAGCCAGGCTGATAGAAGCAGAGCTCGTGGCGTCCTCGGGGTGTCCTTGGGGGTTGAAGTCCGTCTATCTCCGCTGGCGCCACTGCCGAGCCCGCTGCCTGAGCCGCCGCATGGACAGGCTGACCGGCTGCTTCCCGAACTTCCTCATGATCTCCTTGATCCTCGCGAGGTTGGTTTTGGAGATGGTGAAGTCGCACTGCGTAGCCCCCATGTCGTAGCCGACCTCGCAGGCCTTGGTGGCCGCCGTGTAGCCCTCGGCTCGCACGGCCACCACGTAGTCCCCCGGGTTGAGGAGGCGCCAGTAGTCCCCATCGCTCCCTGGTAGAAGGACCAGAAGAGACAGCTTCAGAACAGTGATGCTGGTGTAAAAGATCTGTCCCAAAACTAATTAGTCCCTGCCAATCAAGAGGAACCCAGAGACACAGCGGGGACCCATGTCACGCAAGTGATCCTGGCCAAACACACGTTTCCATGCTTTTGAGTATTCCAGTATGAGTAAATGCACATCACTGCACAGATCTTTGCAGGTAAATATGCTCTTCAGTAAGATCTTACATTTTTACAGTTTTAATACATTGATTTTTCTACAAACCATAATTCCTCTGGGTACTTAGCCACTTACCTGCCTGTAAATGCATGAACAGCACTACCATAACCAGCTAAATGACTTGTGAATAAAGCAAAGTGTATTTTAACACCTCGTTGAATCTGGAATTTTTCTTCTCCTATAGGTGTTGTCAAGTTATCCAGGCTATTCACGTACATTTACGATGTTTTTAGACTTCTAAGTATTATTTTAACTAGTAAACATGCTTAGCTGTGGATGGAGAAAGGTGATAAAAATATAATATCTAAAAATTGTTTTCTACTCCAACCTGGGCAACCCCTCTGTGTAATGAAAGTGCACTTTCAGTTACACAATTCTATATATAAATGGAAATGCAATATCTCTGGTAGGAAGAGGTGTTTTTAACAGTAATGGGAAGAGACAACCTTGCTATTACTAGCTTTGGGCCACTTGCAATGCACTGTGTTGCTAAAACTAGTTTGGATAAAAATGCCATACTTGGAAAAAAATCAGACTGGTCGTGTTGGAATAAGACTATCTTGCATCTACTTAAAGAAATACAATTTTAATTTAGGACATGGTGGAAAAAAAAAGTAGCATGTTTTAAAATATTAACAAAACAGTAATATCAACTATATCCTGATATTACAGCTTCCACTTGCAAGTGTGAAATCAGAGAATGGTTGAATTTGGAGGGGACCTCCTGAGATCCTCCAGTCCAATGTCCTGCTCACAAGAGTGTCACCTAGAACAGGCCACTCAGGCCTGAGCAGATACTCTGCAAGAAGCACACCTGACCAAGGTAACTCTTGCACACTGGACCACTTGGGTTTTCCTTTCGTCTAATTGGTGTTACCCAAGGTGATGGTGATGGTCCAGATTTTGTGTTTCTCAGTTCTCAAGCATTTATAGGAAGGAGTCCCAAGAGGCTTAAAAAGGACTTTCTGATGATCTCTTCAGTTCCTTGCCCTTACTGTTGGGTCACCAGGGACCTTAGCCAAAAAGCAGAACTTAAAGCTGCCCAGGTTTCTTGACCTTAGCCCTGGGAGCTCGTTCTTGGCTCTACCATCCTGCCTTGGCTGTGTTTTGCTTGAGGCTATTTCAGGATAGGACTTAGGGTGAAAAACAGCTTTTGCTCTGTAACCTCTGCCAGGGGGTTCAGAACTGACCCACATTTTCCTGATACAGATTTAACAGGCCGACCATTACGGCTCTGCATAATTCCATAAAAAATCTACACATTCAGGCACAGCCAGGGAATTAGAGCAGAGCAAGATAATAAATTGCTAGCAGGATGCACTTTATTTACCTCCTTTCAATTTACACATAACTAGACATTAGTCCCTCTGTCACCTGTCACTACCCAACCTTTAATGCCAGACTAAAAGGTTTTTTTTGTTGTTTGTTTGTTTAATCATGTTAAATAGAGTAGGTAAAAAAATTCAGAGCAGATGTCAAGAGAAACAAAATTAAAGATATGGTTAAATATAGTAAATAATATGTTTTCTAAAACAATAGGCTCCAGTTGGAGCAGGCTGGAGGCAGACAACATCTATCTCCACCTATTGGGTCCAGAGAAGAATTGCCAAGTCTGCTCAGATAAAATGATAACACATAATAATAATAATAAAATGATTGCATTATTATAAATTAAATACAAGTGTCAGGGCACTCCATAAAATCTTCAGTTAAGAGGAATACTCCCTGAATCCGATGGGCTAGATTCTAAGTTAAAATGAAGATACACATCTAAACTTATATGAACTAAACATCATGAATTTAAATATATAATACAAGTCTTTCTTAATGTTCTGTTACCTACAGAAAGCTCTCCAGGAAAGTTTTGCCACAGTGCTGCATGCCCAGCTTATGTAAGAACATCTACTTAAGCTTGCTTTATAGAAGCAGCAGCCAACAATAAGCCTAAATAGTTATAACATTAGAAATACAATTAGACAAGACAAATGTTATGAAACGTTACCACAGGCTACTGAGCTACAGCACTGCTAAAGATGAGCAGCTGCTAGATGGCAAATATTACCCTCTGCCAAAGATCAAAACCGTGCTCAGAAAGAGGCCTCCAGTGCTCAGCCTCCCTGATAAGTCTGAAGATGGCACCTCACCTTGCTCAAGACTTTTTTGATCACAAGGTTATGGTGTGTCCCTACACAAAACTCTGTCTCAGAGACAAGAAGGGACATATTTGACATAAAGAGGCCATTTTGCAACAGCCTAAATCAGAAGAATTTACTAACTCCTCCAGGTCTCCGTAATGAAAAGTCCTCTGACCACTGCTAGGGGGAGCGAGAAGGCAACACAGAGAACTGTCCTAGCAAAACATGAAAAATGGGTGTCCAGGTGCATTTGTTCATCCAATTGATTAAGTTTTTTTCCAAAGGTTATCTTACAGAATACAGTTCACATCTAACCGTAATACCATGTAATCACTCTGACTAAATCAATAGTTACATCTGCATCAAGAGAAAATGGAATAATCTTCCACAAAGCCCTTACCTTCAACAGAATCAATAATTTCAAGTAGCTTATTAATATTATCAGCTTAGCATCAACTGTCTCCTTTTCCCAGAAGAAATATTGTACTTCCAAGAGAAAGTTACAAAAGTGCTCTATGTGCACTTCTTTTGTGCACAGACAGAAGAAGAAATCAGAAAAAAATCCTAAAAAAAGCTTTTAACAGACAATTTTTGTCTGCTCTACACGACCACGTTAACCATTGACCATAAAGAAATAGCAGTTACTGTATAGTCCAAATCACATTAAACGAAAGTTATATAAATACAGACAATGACCATAATTCTTCTCCCATTTAAATTATTTTTATCAAGGGAAATCAGTTGTTTTTATATGACTGCATGTTTCATTTGAAAAGATATAAATGAAAGGATAAAGCTGACAATTTGCCTTCCTTCTGTGCAGTTATATACACCATTTCATTTTTTTTTGTCTCCAACATAAATTTTCCACTTCAAAGACTAATGACATATACAGAATTATCTGTATAAAACAAGATAGAATGTTTATGTTCCCATTTAGAAAGTGAAACCCAAACACAGTTTCAACTTTAACATTACTCATTTAAAGAAAGAAACAAACAAAAAGAAGAAACAGGTGCTTTATTTTTCCTGACAATTACAGATGGCTTTGAGCCATGAAAGCTCAGTTCTAAATCTAGGTTTGAGTAATTCCAAGTTTCCTGAGTGTTACAAGGTGTATTCTAGGATGTTGAACAGTCACGGATTACATGCATGTAAATTTGCTGTCATTTAAAAGAATTTTTCTTTCGTGTGGCAATTTAGTATAATGAGAGTTGGAGATTAATCACCCACTGCGTTTATTTGGTCTCGACCAGAGAAAAACAACCCACAGTTTATGGCAGCCTTCCAAAACAACTGATTACTTTGATTCATGTTATCATTTCCCAGTGGTCACATTTTGAAGTATTTAAGGAAGAATCATTACTGCCTTATTAAATATCTGTCTTTCAATGTTTTCTTTTACAATAGACACAGTAGCACTGAAATAATATTAATTGTAAACTAAGTTAGATATTTCAAGATTTATTATCAACTCAAATAATCAGCTGTAGCAAACATTAAAGATTTGGAAGTTTCTTATCCAAAGATCCATGCTATTGTATAAATCAAAAACAGCTAAGATGCTAAAGTATGACCTACTGCACCTCATTTGCTGTGCAACTAATGAAAGACCAAGAATGCAAGCAAGAGAGAAACAAATATAAAATCAGTGTCCTTTTTTCTAACATTAAGCCAGCCCTGGAATACAATATGATTTGTTTGCTTATTCACAAATAACATTTTATTATCCTACTGCCACCCTTACTTTGACAGCCAGGTTGTTGCATGACACTTGTTCTTAGAGCCTATTTGCTGTTTTTCAACTTTGATGACTGTGTCTAAAAAATCTACACAAGCAAAGGGGTGTTTGCCAACCTACAACTACTATACTGGTATTACTACTGATTTTTTAACAATTAGTATCTATTCAAAGCAGTACTTAGAACATGACACTGAAGTGCCATAACTATTTTCCAGGTCTTTAAATAGGCCTAGTTTACACTGAATACAGTTTACCTATCTAAAGGTAAAGATCAAGACCGTACAACCATGATAAATACCCATTTATGCATTTTTTTAAAAAAATATAAGCATTGAAAAATAAACCTCTGGGATGGCAAATTTCTTAACACTGTGATGTTTTGTGAAAGACTCATAAGAGTGTGAAACTCCCCCTTTTCTGTAGCAGCTGTTCCTTTTCTGGACAACTCTCTAAATCAAGTTTCTAACACATTCGAGTGCTAACAGCCACAGAAGCACCCTTCATACAGCACAGTATCGCTCTGGTTTGGATAATCAGTGCTTTAATCATTCTGGGTTAGAATCTCATTATTTTCATATAGTAAAAGGGGAAATAGGGATTCTTTCTTAACCTGGCCTTACTCAGCCTATTGGTGCTGGGCAGAGACAAAACTACTTGCTCAATTCTGTAAAACAAGTGGGAAGAAGAGAGGGCAGGCAGGAGAAACCCCCGATCCATTCTGTTCCTTTCTTTTCCAAGCAGCTGCTCCTTGGAAAGCAGCAACTCCCTCCTCCTGTATCTCTCTTTCTGCAACGTGCTCTCTGGATTGCAAACTGTCCCCAGAGAAGAATTCAACGATGCGACGTCATTCGCCATTTTTTCTTTTTTTTCCTTTTTTTTTTCTTTTTTAATCTTTTCTTCTGCACTGACATTTTATTGTTTTACCTGTGCGAATGTCATGGTTGACACCTTCTACAGAAATAATAGCATTTGGAATTCCTTTGCCATGTATATCTTTCACAATGCCTTTGATGCCTCGATGGACCTATTGAAAGAATAAACAAACATTATACAACAATAACAAGTGATATCGTTAGTAGGGTACAGCAAATCATTAATTCTATGTGGGAATTAAGTTTATTCTATTTCCATTTTAAAATATCATTAAGAATATATTATTAAGCTACCAGGAATCAGCTAGTCTTGTATTACCTTACAAACCCTTTTAGGATTCCTGAAGCATCAAGTTCAAAAGACAGAGAGAGCATCTAATAAAAGCAGCAGATACAGGGGTGTTTCCATTAGTCATTTCTGGAAAGCTCTGCATGCAGCTAAAATTTTAGCAAGTGTCATTATTTTGCCCTCTTAAGCTAAAAGTGTCTGATAGAAGTGATATGCCATTACTTCTCACAAGTAAAGTTTCTACCACAAATATACAAAATCCTGTAACTTATATCATTTAAACCACACATCATTAGTGAAACTTTTCTTTCTAAAGCTTTTCGGGCTGAAGGTAATGTTAGCCCTGTGGATCCACAGGGATTAGGTGGTACTTTGTAGTGTAGAAACCATTTCTGATTTTCATGTAAGTGATGGTAACAGCTGAAATTTTTGCACCAAGCATCCTAGCTTCCAATTCATGTGGAAACACTGTAGAAAATGAAGCATAAAATCAACAGGGGTTTTAGAAGACATCCAGCAGCTTTCCACAGAAACTTATGCCAAAGCAAAGGAAGAAAAATAATTAGTCAAACATCAGAAACTCTTCAACAGCTTTGAAAAACCCAATGACAGTGTTTGTACAGCAGGAAAGGCAAAGGCTGAACCTTCTCTAAGTCAGTAAGGGGTGACATGTCTACATGGTGCTGAATGTCAACCGTGTCTAGAAGAACATCAACCTCCATGAGCAACGTGGCTCCTCCAGGCTACAGCCCTACCCAAAGCAGAGCACAGATGGTCATTGCAAACTCAGGGAAAGACAGGGCTTCACAAACAGAGTTATTCAGAAGTTGTTTTTCTGCTAAGTACCTGTTCCATAAAGACTATCAGAGATTCGCGGTTGTTTTCCCACTCTTCAGGCAACTCACTCTCGTGAGGATACTTGTCACAGCCTACGTAGATGGATAGCTCAAAGCAGTTTGTGTGCAGGTAGCTGAAGTCATTTATGCCTGTCAAAAGGGGAAGAAAAGAAACAATTGATCAGATCATTTCATGTAAAGTAAATAACAGAAATTAAATATTTATCTAGCTGTCTCAGTCAGCAGATCTTAACAGTGAAATGCTTTCTAAAGGATACCACGTCTCCTGTAACTAAGTGCTGTGAATAACATCACAACAGCAATTTTAGGAGCAGAGTGCTGCCAATGTGCTTAAACCAGTCTGTGCAAGACTGCAGTGTAAGAGCATTGGCCACTGCGGCCCCTTTCCACTAGTCACCCTAGCACCACATATCTGCTTGCTTAGGTGCAAAGAACAGGGCCATTTTGCCACCACAAAATTAACAGGAATTAGAGCTCTGGCAGAAAAACAAAACAAAAAACATCACTTATTCTAGATGGAGTGTCTGTGATATCAGTGGGAAATATCAAGGCACATCAGGTGGCCCACAAAACTCCATGGGCAGAATTCTTATGCAGTAAGAGTTCAAGAGGCGATGACTGAGCTCCCTCCTCTTTTCCCATGCACAGCTCCCACATTCCCAGCGTCCCAGAAACAAACTCCTGATCCATTTTCCAGCCAAAAGAACGAAACTACAGTGAGCTTGGCTAAAGTGGTGCCCCTAGGACTGCCCTGGGAGGAAATGGGATGGTATACATTAGCTTGTGTGGGTGCAGAGTATTCACCTAATTGATCCAGCACTTAAATGCTGGGATGAAAAGTAAGGTGCACACAGGGATTGCTGCATAAAAAACATTGTCAGGACAGCCAATGGAATAAATAGCTTTCTCAGTCCAAATTATTTTCCCACGCCAGTAATAAAAGTAATAGGAGAAGCAAAAAAAAACAAAATAGTAAAAAACTTTTATACATATATATTTATATTCTATTATATGTTGTTACCAAATTATTCTCCCACTCCAGTAATAAAAGTAACAGGAGAAGCAGAAAAAAAAACAAAATAGTAAAAACTTAATAAGTTACTTAATAAGTTATATATATGTTATATTTATATTCTATTATATGTTGTTATATATTGTGCTTGTTAGCTGCAAGCAATGAAAGGACCTATTCCATTTCTCCCTGTTTTGGCTTTGCAGAAGACTGGAAGCAACACTGCTGTTCTGCAATAGGCATTTCTGCAAGGAATACACAGCAATCAAAAACTAGAGGGTTCAATGCCTCTGACCTTTGGTGAACTGCAGTTTAGAACTATATTACAAAGATAGTTGTGTTATTTACAAAGCCCAGGCCGTGCCACTAGGAAAGATAGTATTTACATAGAGATCTCTGAAATATTTCTATTTTTCATGTTCCTCTCCTGATTCTCAAAAATATTTTCCCTTGGGGAATTCCATTTATCAGTCTCCACAGTCATACAGATAACATGATATAGTAGATGAATGCTGGAGGAATAAATGATAGGATTTTCTTTCTTACCATCCGCTGACACTTTTGATTAAAAAATAAACTTTAAAAACTTATTATGCTATATTTTATTATGCATTCATTTTTATATGTTACCATGGTGGAATTAGGGGGAAATACATTCATTAAGTATTTCTGATTGAAAGGAGTTAAAAAAATCTATCCCTGTTCAATTACCATGCAACAGTAGTCAAGATTTAATGAGCCCTCTGTGCCTTCTGGACGCAGAGCAGGAGGATTATATAATACAGATGTTAAGCTTTTCACATTTGTTGATGTGAAAAGACTAAAATATCAAGTTATGGCATATGCTACTCTGCAGAAATGTGCTTCCCTTCCATTTGAGAAACAGTCACAAATATTTTCTCCTCACATACTGCATTGCATCCTGATTAATCTATTGTGAAATGTGTTGCAATATGCAGTAATTGCTCTGTTTTAATAAGCGCATTTAAGAAAATGATTTAATGTTGCCAAGAGCAACTATCCGCATAGTGTCTGAAGCAGCAAATCCATAGTGTCTGAAGGCAAATCCAGCCTTGAAAACACCGTGAATAAAAAGAAAAAATATATATATTGTTTGCCTGTGTGCAGCACAACAATGTTAAAATTATCTAGAAATTTACACTCCTTGCAGCCTAGAATATGAGCAAGAAATAGTATAGCTCCTAAAGAGCTACATGTTAGTGACTATATAATTAGTTATAAATAGTTAAGGTATTATGGAGGGGAAGAAATAGAAGCGATATCAGGGCAATTCTTTATCACCAAATATGAAGATACTTGAATCATGTTTGGATAACCCTTTACAAAGTCATGTGCCAGTGCTTAACTTGCTATCATTTTTTAAAAAAGATGTGTTTATACATATGCATATATATTATTTCCATGTAAATCATTCCCTTCCAAGCTCTCTTTGTTTTCACTTACAGATACTTTAGTACAACATTTTTGACATGGTCTGAAACCCATTAGAATTTTAAAAAAATGCCCAGCAACTTTAATGACTTTAGGTGGAAATTCTGCATCTGACAGAGGAAATAAATACCATGCACAGAGAAAGCACAGGAAAAAAAAAAAAAAAAAAAGGTAGGATTTCACAGAAGTCAGAGGAAAAATTCTTGGTGAGGAGCCTGGAAAGATTAGCACGAAAGCATCCTGTGGGTCTGAAACCATATCCTTTGAGGTTTAGCATAGAATCCAAGGTGTAAATTGGATGGTAAAATGAAAGCAAAATCAGTATTCTAGCAATTCTCAAAGGCAATTTTGTAAGTTTTATGATAATGACAGAAAGCAAGATGTAAAATGTAATGAGAAACATCACGAAGCAATAAAATAAATCAGATGAACCAAATCCAATATATAATTGTTACTAAGAAACCAAGTTATTACTCAGCAACTATATTGTAGAGCATTACTTAATATAACTTAATGTGTATCTGTTAGTGACATGGCCAGTGCCATCTTTTTTTGGATCAATCCATAATCATGTTTCTATAGTACTTAGGAAAATTAAACACATAAATTAAATAATTAAGTTATTAAGTTGGCATTCTGAATTTTCCAGAATTTGCAGAACGTATTGAAATGTATTGTCAGGCATTGGACTTGTGATCCAAGCAGCTCAATCTTGTTTCCCTTGGATTAAACCCAGCACAAAATATATTTGAAAAGAAAATCTAATTCCTGGCTCTATCCCTTAAAAGCTGGCCATCACTAACTTTACATAGGCCGATGCAAAAACAGTAAAAGCTGCGTCCAACACTTGGAAAGGTTCATGCAGTGCAGTGACCTGCAAATTACACACAAGCATTAGCTCTCATAAAAATTTGATCTGGACTTGCATCTATTAATTTATCACTTCTGCTGCTGTTGCGGTTGCTATCACTAACCAAGAGCAGACACGTTTCTGCATCTCACAGAACGCTGCGTCCAGCTGATGAGCAAGGAGTGGGTTGGGAGAGCTGTGAGGAACCAGCAGAGGCCCCAATGCAAGCCTGATGATGGCACAAGGATGGGCACATCCAGGTGTTGGAGACTCATGCTGGAAACGCGCTTCCAAACGCGCTTCCTGCAAACGGAGGCTCTGCAGGACACGGCTTCTCCTTCACTCCGCAGGCTTGGGCATGTGGGGAATGACACAGCTGGTAGTTTCTTCTGGCAGCAGAAATGCCTATGGAGCCCGTTCAAAATCTGTGTGTAGACACGGCCAGGCCCTTCACAAGTAGGACGGTAGCAGGCAAGCAGCAGCTTTCTGTGGCACATTTCCATAACTCGAAGGGAACACAAACATGGGCTGAGCTGCTGCTAAGTTCAGGGAGCAGGAGCTGAAACTAAGATTTCCTTCTCTGAGAGCACCTGGAGTCTCTCCCTAGTCTCCCTAGCCAGGTTGGGAGTTACTCCTAAAATCCTGGCATCACTTCTGCTGTTTGTCTGCACTGTTTTCTGCTGGTACCTTCCGAGACAGATTCCCTCTTTCTAGTGGTTTTGGACTGGCTTGCTCTTTGGAATCTGTCTGGATGCTGGCTAGGATTATCTGGCACGTGGTGAGCTTTACTTGTGACAGTCTTAAACATATGGAACAGCTTATACATTGCATGTGCACTCTTGGGAAAACCAGTAGCAAATGCAACAGCTACTGGGCTCTTCTGGAAAGCTGTCAGTCAAGTTGCTATCAGCACAACATGCTACCAAGCAGACCTGCTGATGGTCATTGATGCCACCTCTTTTCTCAGTGGACATGTTTACTACCATCACCTCTACCAGGCAATTATGGCTTTATCACGTTTAACAGGGAACCACAGGGAAAGCTTCTACAGACACTTACTTCCAGCCACTGTATGCCATGAGGCCCCATTAACGGTGCCATCCTCCTTCTGGAAGTCCTCAGTGTGACACGCTCTCCTCCTCGCGTCCGTCATCAGCCGGTGAGTGGAGGCGTAGGAATATGCCAGCCAGCGAAAGACGTGGTCGTCCGGGGTGGGTGTGTAATCCTGGGTCTTCCACATGGAACGAACCATATCATAGGGGTAGGCGACCACCAGTTCTCCTCCCTGTAAATTGCCACCGAGCACAAAGGGGATTTTTTCCATCCATGCTATGATTGCTCGTGTCTCAACTGCCACCTAGGAAGAAAGGAAACAGAGGCTTTGCTTGGAGCACTGAAATCTAATGGACTTCCTGCATAGTTGGAAGAGACAAAGGTGTCCCATTTTCAGTGTGCAACCAGCAGAAGAAATGGTGTCGAGGAGAAAGGCTGCTTCACATCACCGTGGCTGCTAGCAGGGCTTTGGAGGCCACCACCAACCCATAAAAAGTTACACGACCTTAGTGTTTGCGATTTATGCAGGAATGTTATTCTTATTCAAGAACATCAAGAGAAAATCCCTCAGAAAGCTCTACAAGCCTAGGGAATCTGGTTCATAGTACTGAGCCCTTCAGGGTCTTCTCTTTGTCTATTTCCTGCTTCCCAAAATTTGAATATTTCCTCCAGACTCCCTCAGTACATCAAGGAGAATAGGATCCTTCAGGAAGCAGTTCATCCCACTTAAGGGAAGCCTTTAAAATACGCAGATGAACTGCACTTGCTGAAGATATATACCTTCACCTACAAGATGCTTTCAGCCTGTCCCAGTCTTTGGGGTTTTCTCTGTCTGGAGCCAGTTTTACTCACTGTGGCATTTTCTGACAGGTACCAGTCTGGAATGGGAATGTGATGGTTTGGGACTTTCCTTTTATTCTTCTTCTGGTCTTCAGAATCCCAGAGCAACGAGTTTAAATCAGGGAAATTATTGTTGATATCAATGCCATCCTGCGTCCATCGCCCTAAAGACCAGCCGCCTAATTCTGAACCCTTAGGACAAAGAAAATAAAAGGAATGGCCATTCAGAACATGGCAACTTGTGAGCCCTGAGAAAAGGGTTTTGAGACTCTGATACGAGATAATTCTATACAAGGGGGAGGGAAAAGGGGAGAAAAATAATAAAAAATAATGAGCTGTTTCATTAACATGAAGAAAATACTAGACATTGCTCCCCTAGACCTGCCAGCCCTCCAATTTTCCTTTTTTTCTTTTTTTCTTCTCTTCTAGACTAAATTTCTGCCATGCCAAACATATTATACTATTCTGAAAGATGCACTATTAAACTTCCACTGCAGAGAAATGAAAATTTTCCTGTTCCTAGCTTGGTTTCTGCTGACAAAACAGACCGAGTGATTTTGCCCTGTCACACAGCGGTGCTCACATTGATCTGTGCACCTCAGCTTGGTTTGCTCTTGCAGTCTCAGGGACCATCCTTTCAGTACCCATCATCCTGTTAATCAATATCACAAAAAATACGATTTCTTTCAGCTTTGTTTTTTCCTCAGTAAGGTGTTTCAATAGTTTATGCTTACTTTCATATGTTTATTTTTTACTTTATCCTGATTGCTTAAAAAACATGATCTTCAAAAACGTATTGACAACAGAAGTATACTTCATTAATTTAATAGCACTAATCCCTTGCTATGTTGATAACTGTATTACCGCTTTATATGCCTTGTCATATCCATCTGGGTTGACTGAAGGAAGGAGGTGAATCCTGGTATCCTCAATGAGATGGACAATGCGCGGGTTCCCAGCCAGGTACTCTTGGCACATGAACTGCATTAACAGAAGGATTAGCTCCCGTCCAAGCACTTCATTCCCATGGGCTCCTGCGATGTACCGGAATTCTGGTTCACCTATTGAAAACGCATTGAATGAAACACAACCAGAGCAGCAGACCAAGGATGTAATCAAAAGCCACTCCTGCCAACAAGAAATGTTTCACCTAAACTAACAGGGGTTGCAGAAACACCTGAACTGGAATGAACAATAGCTGAAATTATAATCCCACCAAAAAAAAAAAAAAATCATTGCCTTCTGTTGCTCTGATATGAATTGGCTTATATGCCAGCAATATCTGGAATTGCTGTACAAAACCTCTGATATACATTTTTCCATTACACATTATTTTAACTCAGCATTTCACTCAACATTTCATCATAATACAGGTAGGTCTTAAAAGCTCCATTAGTCTAAAAATAACACAACAAATCCCTTAACAGGCAGTTTGTTGGGAGATATTTTAAGACTTTTAGATAACAGCCAATGACTTTATATAATTGATCTCTGGTCTCAAATACTCCTTTCCCTTCACTCATCAAAAACCAGGTCCATATTTACGTGTCAAGATTTTATTGAATGCACTGAATTTGCATTCAAATAGTAGCTGCTCCAGAACTGATTAGGAATGATGCTGGCTATTCAGAGAAGAGCAGTCTATAGGAAAGACAACTGAATAATAAAGCAAAATTGTCCAAAGCTCGGCTTGTGGTTGGATCCCACCTAACCAAGCAGCTGGTCCAGCCCAGAGTACACTCCTTGCAACGTCTCACTGCAGGATTTTCTGATGTTACAGGTAGGGCAAGGCACAACTGAATTATTCTGGTGGTGCAGCTTGTGCAAAAACTGAATGGGTTTCTATGTCGAGTACTCTGTCGCTATACAAAACATCTCCCACAATGACCACAGAAAAAATATCAGGAGAGTCCAGCTGTCTTTTCTTGCAATGCATGCATCTCAAAAGAATCAAATTTCCATGGGACTCTCTAAAAATCCCCACAGTAAAATCCATTACCCAGAACTAAAATTCACTTTCTTTTTTTTTTTTTTGTTGTAAAGAATAAAGGTCATTATCATTAAAGAATTTGATCCTACACTTGAAATACCTTCTATTTGTGTTCCCCCTCCACTTCCCAATTTAGCAACATAGCATTAGTTCCTCCCACGTACATTATAAATCCTTGCTGCCGTGAACATAATTTCATCAGTGATAATTGCTGCGGATATACAGAACAAGGGGAAAAAAGCCAAAGCCCAACACCCTCCAACAGATTTAGTTACACTAAATCCTAACCAACTTCGTGTTCTCCAGGGTTGTCAGAAATCTCTACAGCATACAACTTTAGTCCTTGGTTGCTTTTCCCAATATTGTAAATTCTTGTGATATTCGGACACATTTTATTCACAGTTTTCATCAACTGCCAAAGGAAGAAACAGCATAGTTAGATAATGCATCGTCAAAACATAACCAACATTAATTATTTCATTCCAAATTGGTTGTAGCTAACACTGTTGATTTTCTCTTCTGTTCTGTTTACATTTAGTTGTAAAAGCTTTTTGTTTAAGCTAGGTCTTATGGCTATGCTACCACAAAATATAATATTTGTTCAGATACAACAAGTTGCATCCTACCTGCTGAAGCAGCACAGTGTTGGTGAGGTTCAAGAGCATTCTTACATGTGAGATACTTTGGCAATAACAGAAAATGAAGGACATGACAAGGAGATCATGCATTTAAACACTGTTGTCCTTGAGAGCTCTCATCACTCCTGTCACCTTTATTTAGGTAGAAACTAAACCCAACCTTCTTGTATTACAAAATCTCATGCAAAATGTATACAAAAATCTCACATAGTGAAAGTCATTACTTTAGGTATAGTAAAAAAAAAAAAAAAAAACAGCAAGCTGGTTGTCATCTGAAAATCTCCCCTAAACATAGCAGGATCTTCTTCTTCAGCAAATAGCTAATAAACCAAATTCCTCATAATTTGCTTACCTGCTTTTAGCAGAATTAAAATCTATAATGGAAAAGCCAACAACCTTAATTAATCCAGTCTGAGAACGTACCTTTTGTCAGAATCTATTCTATTCATTATATATATGGACACAGCATGGCATACCAAAATATAATTAAACAACTCAATAAAGCGCATAATGAAGGTCTTGGTAAGGGGTACACTTCTGTTTAAAGCCAGGTAGTTATTCAGATGTCATCTTGATAATGAAATGCAGAAGCTAAATCGTCCCATACAAATGCCAAATACTACAATTTACAGACATGACCAGAGAGAATTAAGGTAATTTGCTCTATTTTCTCATTGTATGAAATGCAGACATCTGAATTAGGCTCCCCAAATAGGAACAAAACAAATTAGCTATCTGCAAGTAGTCCTGAATGTTTCTAAAATTTATGCTCTATACCCTGACTTCTCTTCAACACATTTCAAACTAGAGTTAAGAACAGTTTGAATAATTCTCTTAAAAGTCATTTACGTATTGTTTTCTAAGCTGATACTTCCAATATCTACAGCACATTTGTGCAGCAGAAAAAAAGACTAGCTGAAGTAAATATGCATTAATTTCATTTCCAGGATAACACTGGTAACATTATCTGTCAGATCTGTCTGTACAACATTTTGGAGATGGAGTACTGATGTGCTCAACTAACCCAAGAGAGAGCAAAGGAAGGATGACATGCTGAAAATTTGTTTGTGGCAAATAGACCCTATGCTAAGTCCTTCGCGGCCATTTGAAACACTGATTTTGGCTTGGGTGTTTGCATAGATTAAAGGAAACAAACATCCGAAAATTTGCGTGATCTTAATAAGAAGTTATTAAAAATAAGTTCAAATGATTAATTTATCTTTCTTGTTTTCTTCATTTGAAGGGATTAAAAAATAAATAAGAATTTCACTGGAAATTGGAACCCTGGGGAATATTAATTAGACAGCCTTTTCATAAACAATGGTGCATACATTATTGAAGAAGTATTGTAGCATAACATAACTCTTTGCTCACACAGTGTTAATTTAGAAACAATACTGGATGATAACAAGGCTGATGATTTTAAAAATGCAATAATTAGATGTGTCCAATTCCCATGCTACCATTTACCAAACCTAAGTGGAAACACAATTTTCATTGGGAAGAACATCATTAAAATTCCACTCATAAAAGACTTCACTTCTATTTATAATCATGTTGCAAAGAGACCGAAAGGATGTTATTTTTGTACATTTGTTCATCTCACAGATCGTTTTTCATATATGTATATATGATTTTTTTTCTTGCAAATTTAAATTCCATACTGAAAAGTGCAATTAGATACGCTCTTTCAGTGTATTTGATCATTTCATCTCTACAAGGTGCTTATATAAGAATGCAACATTGGAAATGAACATATTTCATATTTTGTTTTCTCTCATACCCATGTGCCATACAAATGGCACAACAGGTCATCAGAAATGTCACGGTGCTTTCCATGCGCTTGTACAAACTGTCAGGCACAACTGATGATAATAATCAGTCATGGCGTTATTAACAACCAGTAGGACTGTAAAACACTGCCACAATTATGCTCACTAACAGCTCCTATTTGACAGTTCTTATTTGTTTGTCACTACCAATTATTTATCCTATTAGCACCCTGGAGGAACTGCATGCAGTCACTTTGAAGAAGCCCCACAAGACTGGTCTCTGAAGGTTCAATTCCTCCATTTTGCAGTGTGTTTTAAGCATAGGTCTAAGGGCCATCCAAGCTCAGAGGAATCAATTAGAGCTATTCTTTACCCTTTACTCTCTATAGAGAGATTTTTGGATGTCCGAGTCCCACAACAAACCAGGTACAGAGGTCTCTACGTTCCCCGTTCTACTGGAGGCCAAACCAGAACTTGCCTCCTTCTGGAGCTTTGGCAGACTGTGATATTGCCATAAGTTGCACGTGGCTATTTATGAGGATGTTTGCTGGGTTTTGCTCCACTCTTCCAGACTTAGCTCTTTCCTCATCAAATGAGCCCATTCTAGAGAGCTCAAATGCAGAAGAACGTTCTGCATCAGCAGCATTACAGCACTTCCATCAACAAAGATGGACACGAAGAGCAATTCCAGACTTCAGAGGTGCTCAGAGTCTGCTTCATCCCAAGGGTACAAGTAACAGCTCTTTAAATACTCTGCTATTTTCTAAACAAAATACAACCCAGGTTAGCCATTTCAGTGGGTCACAAGGACAAGCTTGATGCTTCGGTCTCCGTTCAGATTTGACTTTCTGTGTGCTCAAGCATAGCTGACCAAACCCTTTAGAATAGCTCACCATAAGCATCAGATCATTTGGCAGAATTTTCTCCTGCTTTCAGTTTAACAAAATATTTAAATTTGTACAAAAGGGAGGGCAGGGTGCAATCTATAGGAGAAGCAAATGTTTCCCCTGGCTGAGATAAGAATCTTGAATGCTTTTTTGAGAGGAAAAAAAAATGGTGCTATAGATATTTTCTTCCAAAACAGAGAAGTCTATTAAAATAACCTGACATTAAGAAAATCCCTTCCTCTATAAATACTTGACATATTGCTATGTAACATGTTACTTTTAAAACATGACCCAGGGAATTCTCTCTCCTTCTCTTTCTTTAGCATTTATGATAAACAACTTGAGTGAGGAGTGATACTCTTCCCAGGGTGATTGGCAGTGAAGTAGCTAACAAAACCAACAATAACACCCTGCATTACAAGAAAAAGAAAAAAAAAGGCAAAAAAAAAAACAAAGAAAAAACCCTAAAAATCAGGAAATTAATGGTTATCATTCTATTTTTTACTGAGGAAAGAGATTATCAAAGTCAATGGCATCACTGAAGATTGATTTGGGGATACAGCACTTACTGCAACCCAACACATAATCTGCTGCCCACAAGCCTCATGAGTTGCCAGTACAACGCTGTGTTGACACACACACAACGTTAGGGAGCCAGCAGAAGACAGAGCACATTGCTGACCACCTCATAAGGCTTTCACCCTATGTGATAGGTGAAAAGCATCCTGATAGAAAGCTGTATTTATTCCAAAGCTATATCTTTTGATTATTTCTCACCTGACCAATCTGTCTTCCTGCAATTAGAATCTCAAACACGTTTTATTTTATTGCTCTTGACACTAATTATGTCGATTGAGTTTCTACTTGTCTAATCTTTGTGGTAAGGAATATAGGCCATGAAATAGCTACTGAACTAAATGTGTGACTCAGTACACAATTGCTCAATAAAAAGTGAATGGTGATTCATGCAGTATAAATACCCTGAAAAATCAGCACACAGCTAATGATTCATATACTTCAAGTCTAAACATATTATCTTTTTATTGGAAAAGAAAGCAGGAAGAAATATTTCTTTAGCACAACCCACACCTCTGTCTGTGATAATACAGAGGAAGATAAAAACAACAACAAGACTGGCTCTCTGAAGATAAAGGAACAAGATTAAGGCTGGTAGATTTAAAATTACATCAACAGAATTATTAAAAAAAAAGATTTCTAGTAATTTATATGCTATGAGCCTCTGGGTCAGGTGTTATTTGCACCCACGTCAGTTTAAATCCCAAATAATTCCAGTGGTTTCTGGCGAGTTACTGAAGATTTTCATGGTGTGAGTAAAGAATTTGACTCCGTATAGTTTATTCTGACTATCCAAAACCACTGAAATTTATGAGAATTATGATGGCTAAACCAGAGTCAAATCTGAAAGGAAAAAAAATAAACTATTTAAATATCTACAGAAGCAAAACAGCCACCCTTCATGAAGAAATACTCCCATTGTAATGGTCTCATCTGTTCTAGAGAAGATGATAAATAGAAAACGGGATTTTAAGAGATTGAAGCTTTTAAGCCAATGACCTGATAGAATTTTTTATCATCAAAAAGTTAATTCCATTACTATTTTTATGCCCACTTTTTAGGGAATATCCCCCCAAAATACTAAGGCTTTCTAATAAACATTGAATTGCTTTCCAAACATTTATAAGGGAGCATGGCAGAGATGTTACTTGAAAAAAGAAAATGAAGTTGGCTCAGGTGCCCACAGATTATATTTCAGGGACTCACTAAGGAATGCACCATTTTAAAATATAATAGCTAAAAATCAAATTTCTTAAGGGCTAAGTCCAAGCCTGCACCCGTCCACCCTCTGTGCACAAGGTTGCAGTCTAGATTCTTTACCTACCTGTCTCATTTCTTTGTAGTTGTGATGTTTAAAATCAAGATTATCTGTGGTTGTCATTTCATTTCTTCTGTGGTAATAATTATTTGGGTCTGAAAAAAAGAAATAAAAGAGTTGCCATATATTTATTAGCCATGTCAAATATAAAGATGGTTAACCACAATGCATGCAAGAAACATGCAATTATCTGAACTTCACTGTCCTATGCAAATTTAACGCAGGTTTTCAAAACCAAAGCACAAAGAAACAAAAACTTTAAAATATTGCTAATTACTGCGCAAAATTGAGTTGTGTTAAACCAGATAGAAGCAAGGAGGTGGCAGGTATCTATTTGTTAAACACCTACACTGCACTAACTTTAACAGAAAAGCAAAAGGGCATCCTAAGGCTACAGAAAAGGGCAAAAAAACACCAGAAAATTATGAGTCAGATGCAATAAATTAAAAAAAAAAAAAGAGTTAAAAAAATCACATGTGAAAAAGCACATCAGAGGAAAAAAGCTCCAGTGACTGCACAGAAAGAGGGTAGTGAATGCTTCCAATTATTTTCCTAAGCATTTTTGTGGAAGCCTGAGATCTTCAGTTTAAAATTAGCAGACACATTTCTACAGGGATAAAGTTGATATAGTCTGCATCTCCTGTGTGAACATTTGTTGGCAGAATGCCAAGCACCAAATACGTAAGAAAACAGCTTAATGCCAATTAACAAAGTGGAATCAAAGCAGGAAATGAGGGTAGAACAAAAACCTGTTACTTTGACTTTCCGGGTATTGGTCATTCACCAGAAAAAAGCAGCCCAAGACCCTAAGGGCTCAGTTATATCTCTACGTGTATATATACACATATGCTTCCTGATAACATGTCCCCAGCCTAATCTGTTATGAAGTTTCTTAAACAGGCCTATTTTGAAAATACTGGAGACTTTCGTTATCTGCTATATCTGAAATGTTTGGAAGTTTGAGTTTATTGAACCAAAGGTTCTCAGGCTCATATGACAAAGTTTCAGTTCCCATAAAATGATCTAGATATAGTTCAAAATTCTATTGGGACAAAAAAAAAAGGCAAATATTATCAAAGCGTCATTCTGCCATAAGATACTGTCTGTGGGGAAGAAAGTTTATATTTTTTTAAAGAGTACCATTAAAGTCAAAAGACACGTTGCCCTATAAAATCCAGTTATCCAATGCCTACTGTCCTCTTCAGCAAGAGCCTATATAGCAAAATCGCCTGGAAATTGATTTGAATCAGCGCCTAATCAGGTGAGGAATTTTATTTTTTTGTTCTAAAGAACCAAGAAAATTAAGTGCATTTTTTTTTTTTTTTGGTGTTCATGCCAACCTAACTGCAGGCTAAATTCATGCAAGTACATTAACAACAGCAATGCTGCAGATTACTCTGGAATGGTAAACACTTAAAGGTCATCCCAGGCTAATTTACAGAAATAACTTATTAACACATAAATTAATAAGAAATGAAAATAGTAAAGCACTTCTAGAAACTCACAAAGTGTTTATAATGCCAGAGTGATATATTTACCCTCATAAAAATAGTTCGGTTGTACAAATTAATATAAACACTACAAAACTGCCAGGATGTTGAAGGCTTTCTCTATCACCAGGAGCCAAAGCATACAGGAACTGACTTTTTTCCTAGCACTTAAACCCATTCCTTTCAAATCCTGGAATTCTTTCCATACAAACATTAATAAAATGAGAATGAATGTGAGTACAGTAGATTCAGTAGACAGTCAAGAAACTAAAAGAAAATCTTCTCATAGTGAAAATGATTCTATATCTGGTCCTTGCAGAAGGACCGGACAGTTCTCTAGAGAATTAACACTCATCTTTTGCCGGAATCTATCATGAGTTTACTTGAATCACTGAATTTCTCTCACACAGATTAGGAGATAGCAGTGTAAACATGTAGAAAGGCATAAAAATCCTGTGCACAGCTGGTTACATCCACCATGGCAAAATATATTTGCTTTCATAAAGGACAGAATAAGAGAGAAAGTAAAACCACAGAATTTAAACTGGAATGTGTTCATTTATTCACAGCACCATTGCAAAACAGTCTCTCTTTCTTCTGAGGGGAAAAGATCCATGGCACTCCCATAGATTCATGGAGTGTATATATATATGTGTGTGTGTGTGTGTGTGTGTGTGTAAACTTTAAGTTGCAAGTAGCGTCAATTCTAAGTTTGCAAATAAAGACAGTTCACTTCATCTTTCTATTTATGTTTCAAAGATGGACAAATGAATAGAAAGCTTTTTGTATTTGCATTTCTACGAAATGAAATTGGCTCTAAAATGCCCAACTATTTTCCAACATCATAACTCCCTTTATTTTTTCAATAAATACTAGAGAAGTCTGATTGCTCAGCACTTTGACATACAGATCTGATATTCAGCTATATTGCACCTCTACACAATACCTAGAGCAGTGGGAACTTGATGCTTCCCATCAGAAAAGGTGGTTCCAGCTGTGAAACTAGCTACAAGAGCATGCACTTCAGATTTTGGTGTTAACTGGCATGTGAAAGGTAGGAAAGGAGCTTTGCAAGGCTTCGGACATGAAATCAATACTCATAAAGCAATATGGTCCAAATTCTCTCCTTTAATAGGATGCTACCTTACTGTGTTCATCTTGTCTTCTCACAGAACTTATACATTGAGCTGTATCGTATCACACTGGTACAGTTCGTAAGCTCAGAAGTGATGTTTATGTGAAAATACAAATGGCTGAGAAAACTCATTCTAAGTGACCTAGATAAATGTCAATTAGAAACATTAAAATAGTCTAAATCCTTTAGACTTCATTAAAATATAAACCTATCCTCTTGCAAATGAGTGACTTTTTCATGTTAATGCAATAAAAATGAATTTAACTTATTTGACTTTTTTTGAAGAACTAAAATTCATGGTACAACTCTTTGCCTTGTTTTATTTTGTTTCTTTCCCCTAAAGGTTTTCTACTAGCATGTGATCTTTCAGATGGGCTCCTACAGTCCAATACTACCAATAAGGGCCCTTCTGAACATTGGCAATACTTCCCCAGAATAGAAAATAGGAAAGAAAATCTTCTGAGGACAATTGCTGCATTGTTGGGTGATGTTATACATCTGTCTTGATGAGAGTAGAGAAACATTACATTGGCCATTTCCCAGTAAGCCTTATTGAATTTGGACTCATTTTTATTCAATCTTTGCTCAAATCTGCAAAAAAAGTTAAAAATCTCCAAAGATTATGTTTTAGCTTTGCAGTGGTAAAAAGGGAACACAAGGACAGACTGGCTGTTCAAACAAAAATCTACTCTCCTGAGTAATTTGCTGAATTTAACAGTGCTGCATACACAGTCACTTATAACCAAAGACGTAGGTAGGAAGTCACAACATTCTACAAAATAAGCACACTCCTAGCACTTAACCAAACTGTCTGGCAAGCTGAGGCAAACAAAAATACTACAGAATGATGCATCCACAGCAAAAGACTGTGGAGACCATCATGAAGTAGTTAAATCAATCTTTCCCCTTGGGTTGCAAGAGATGGCATGATCGTGATAGCAGTGATGCTGCTTTCTAAATAAGAAGTATTAAAAAGAAAATAAGCAATTTTATCACAAAGTCACTCCATGAAAAATAATTGCCTGTTGCTTTGAATGCTCTACAGTATACATAAACACACAAAGAGCTCGTCTAATTTTGTCTCTCCTTCACTGGTATTTTTAATCATATGCATTTTTTTTTTTTTTTAGATTTTTGTTAGAGTACGGAAAGAACAGCCAGGGAAAGTACATCTAACCCTCTGAGGCAATTGCAAAAGATTGTGTGTGTCACTCTACATCTATGTAAATAGCAACATTTTTATAGAAACACTGTAATAGTACAACCTTCCTCTGGAAAAGGTAGTTTGCCAAAACCATCCTACAATACCCCCAAAATGTTTGTTGTGAAATATAAATGCTCCTTTAAAAAATGATAAATATCTTACGCAGTTTACACAGTCATTAATTCCCCAGATTATCTAATATCTTCTCACATTTCCAATTTTTGTGCATGTAGTGTATGTAGCAGGGTTTATTAACATGTCACATGGCAGAAATTGGATTTTTCAACTTTCAAAAGCTAGCTGGCTCTCTACGTTTTCACGGGGCTCTGCCAATGCTAATAAGCTTTCCTAGAATGCTAACATCTTTTTCAGATTTTCCCTTTATCTGCTATTCCTTTCTTCTCCTCCCCTGTGAACCTACTTGATGGAAAACTGATATACACTATGGGCACAATGCAAGTCCACGTAATGCATTCAGGGATTAATAAAGGCATGAAACCTATCCTAACAAGTTGAAGACATAACTGGATTTTCTTGCATGAGAAACGTACTTTTTTTTTTTTTAAACCCATTTTTATATTTTCCAGTATCTTCCTATGCCCAGTTGGACCCACACTGTTATTGCTGTAGTCGCTTGAGCCAGTAGAGCTTCACTTATTGATTTTGACCAATTTATGAGACTTGCCTAATGTCATGCAGGAAACCTTTTGTCAGAAGAGAATCCGTGATTTCTAATCCCACTGTCAATACAATATTAGATCAAAGCTTTCAAAGAGTTTAGATCCCATGTCCCAGCCACGTTATCCAGCTCATGAGGAGTAAGATGATACCTAAAGCAGCTGAGGAAATTCAGTCACATCTGCAGAAAAGTCATTGCCATGTCCTACAGCAATGGAGAAAACCATAAACAGAGAGGATCTGCAACTGAGAAATGGCTTTGTTTAAGCAAGTTTTGCATGCAATGAATAAAATGAGCTGAGAGAGAGAAATGTCAGTTCTTTCTAAGCTAAAAAAAAAAAAACACACACAGAGACTGGCAGTTTATCAAAACCCATTAGTTCTTTCAGTCCAATTAATTTTTGAATAAACACATTTCCTTCCCATAATGTTTCTCGATAGATGATTAAAGTATTTTCTTTCAAGAATAAACTGAATCAGCCACTGCAGAGAATTAACTCAATAAGTGACTACCAGTAGAAACGATATCGGTAGCAGCTAGATACTATTTCCATCCTCATCCAAGGCACATAGTGAGCCCTAATGGCACTCGCTTCCTCACTTCAGTGGCAAAGGTGCCCTTGTGCACAGCACGGGGATACTTTGGTCTCCGGAACAGTTTCACCCACTGATTCAGCCCAGCAAAGTCAAAGGGAGACAAATGTCAACAAGCCAAAGTAGAACCCAGCCCTGTAGGTGTGCATCCACATCCAAAAAGAATATAATAAAAAAGCTGCATTTAACAGAAAAAAAAAACTTTTAAAACACTCTTATTTTCACTCTTTCTGCTGTAACTTTAGTGGAGAATTTGGAATTCAAGGCAATTATGACCTTTTCCCTGTAAACCGCTCCCAGAAATGGTTAGTGTGTTGTCCTAAGTATTCCTTGGAGACCTCTCTGTGTGTCCTGCATGCCAGTAGAGTCACAGTACCAAAGAAATCTCTGCCTTTTCTTCAGTCTGACACCATCTATTGTAAATATCACAGCTGATTTATTCTCTGTAAACCCACATAGGGATTTGGGATAAATGACTGTTTTTTGGCAGTCCACCAGTTTTCAGCCATCCTTTCGAGAGCTCAGAGGAAATACCGTGTCTGGAATTGTCCCTCCAGAGTAAAAGGTTCTCAGTGGGAAACAAGGTGGAAATTCTGTAAACCCATGGTTGAAGCAGATCAGAATCCTCCTGAAAATATGAATATTCACAAAGACAGGACATTCTTGGCCATTGCCACTCAGGTCCATTGTGTATTTAGACCCACAGTTCTCTAAATGCTGTAAACTTTCATTACTTACTGGTAGTAAAGATACTGATCTCATTTTAGGACAATACTTGCCACATTTTTTGTCTTTGAAGAATCATCCCTTCAATTCCCCAGATTTTTTCCCCCTTTTTTTCCCCGTGAGTATTTAAATTTCTAAAGGACAAAAATCAGGCTACCTCTGCATGGCATGTGAAGACCCTACATCAACAGTGGAATTGGAGGCAGCAAGTCTCTGACCAGCAGCAGGAGCAGTTAAAGCAGTAATGATAGGCTCTGGAAAGGCAGCTCTTTTTCTGGTTCTAGTATTTCTGAAAATACTATTCATAGCCCCCTGCAAAAAAAAGAGAGAGCTATCCCCAAGGTGCTTGAATTTAAGATTAAAGGAAAATATAAAGCAGATGAAAGAATTGGAATGATTAGGAACAATTTAGAACAGGTTTGAACAAATAGGTCTTCAAATTTATATTCATAAACACACACAAACACATGAATCCATCATGCAGTTATTTGCAATATGATTAATAGAAATATGGGTTTCGGAAAATGTGAAATCTTGAATGCCCTTTTCTTGAAATAACCTTCTTAGGTTTTTATTTTGCATTGAGCAAAATCTAATTTTATTTTGCATTCTTACTATAAAAGGAACACATAACAAGAATTTGGTGCTAAGGATTTGGATGTGTGGTTTCCATAGTCTTTATGAAACACAAGGTATTTTTCTACCACCTGAGTTTTCCCAGGAATCACTCCAGAATCAGTAACTTTTTAAATTTGCTAGAGATTTTACCCCCTCGTACCTACCGCGCAAGGACAAGCACTACTGCAGTCACAAGATTCAACTTCAAATTAATTATGGGAAGTCCTATGGCGTAAGTTATGGAAAAAGTTCATACTGCATAATCAGAATGGTTCTTTCTTGCCTCAAAAGCAAGCGACTGCCTTGAGTTGCATCTCTGTTGCCTATTGAGTATATTTGCATTCAGATTAACTGCACTGCACTTCAGTCCACACAACAGAAACTCATTAGGTCATCCATACAATCTTTGTTTACTATTAAAGGTACTTATAGTTATTCAAATGTTGCATTTGAACAGAACTATCTTGATACCATCTGAGTACCTAGATAAGTATTTTTAATTCTTTGCCATTAAAGAGAGGTATTATATCAAGAACAAAAATGCATAAGGAAATAAAGTTCCTATGTGTTGGTACAGGGAGCCACATGAACATCGACTGAGAAATGCTCTTACCTGGCAGAGGACACCCTAAGATTTCCAGTCTCATACAGATGCTACCTTCTTCAAACCATGATCGAGGGTTTATACGGATATAACGTGCAACCAGCGGTACCGGCAACATATTGAGAACTGGGATCTCTTTCTCACTGTTTCCTTCAAAAATCTGCATAGAGCAAACATGAAAATGGTAAGATCAGATCTTTTACTAGGATCTTTGGTGACAGAATCAGATAAAATCACCTGGTTCAGCCCCAGGCTGATGGGTTACTGAAGAACTGCTCTGCAAAGGGCATAGGCCCTTAGCAGTCCTCAGAAAGGAGCAAAGGAGCCAGAGCTCCACAACCTCTCTCAGCCCATGGGCACATGGCCATGGCCATGACATGTCCACAGGAAGCAGCAGACTGTTGTGCATTGCACAGGCCACACATTGAGAAACATTTCTCAACGCAGACAAGACCCCCTAAGTGGCATTCACATCCAAAGTCATACACATGATGTACATTTACAACAGAATATATTCTAAGCCCATCTTTGTGATATGCAATTTGCTCTTAAAGTTACACCAGGCCAGTAGAACCATGGGGAGATGCTGCCTTTTTGTCTTACATTGATAAAACAGCCTGGCAAATCAAAGTCCATGTGAAGAGCCCTCACCCCATCCCTTTCCCTCCTCTGCTCTTCTTCATAACATGTCTGTTTTGTGATACTCACGACATCTCCAGATTCATTTTTGACAACAGTCCATGCATGGCTGTCATTGCTCACCAATACTCTGTAAGAGGTCACCCAGTTACTCCTTGAAAAAGACAAAGAGCATCTGAGTTATTTTTTCATAACTTAGAATGACTGCAAATTGTGTCGAGTGTGATAAAGCTTGTAAGGTTGCTAGTAAAGGAAATCCCACTTGGCAAAGTCATGCCAACACTTGCCTGAAAAAGTGACATGCAAATCTAGGATTAGAAAAACCCTACCACATGGAAGCAAAAAAAAAATGCCACTGAGATAATGCTCTGTGTTCCCAGAAGGTGCGGAACTTCTGCTCTCCTTTCCTTTTACATACAAATATCTTGAGATCAGTGGCCTACCTGGAGCAGTTTGAATGCCCCAATTCACTTCTCAAACTCATTGCTCTGAAAGGGCAATAGTAGTGTATTTTTTCCTGACACCTTCCTAGTCTCCACAGGCAGTATTTTGGAGGACAGTCATGCCTCTGAGGTATTGCTATCTTTCAGTTAATTCAGGATGCTATCAGTTGTTTTCATGTACGTCGTGAACCAATCACGTGTAACCAACAATTCTCATTTTCCAAAACAGACATATCTAAGAAAATCTTCCTGTTTTACTGCACCCAAACCTTTTTTTTTTTTAAATAACCAACAAATAGCATTAACCAATTACCATCAACATGGAAGAAATTGACTGTTTCTGCTTATGTTCAAAGGGTTAAACTAGCCTTCATGTGTTCCCTGGAAAATAGTTAGGCTTCTACCCAAAAAATAAGGTAGCAAGAGAATCCAACAGCCACAAGTTCATCCAGTTTTGCAAGATGCAAGATTTGACATTGATCTAATTTATCTTGATGAAAAGATATAATAGCCCAATAACAGCCAAGCCTATGCATGACAGCACCAAGTTATAACTTTAGACTTCAAACAGTCTAACTTGCATAAAAGATTCAAACTGAGAGCTAGTGTTATAGTGACACTTAAACACAAAGTTTAGTTAGTATATTACTTGCAGAAGCACTTGTCTAACTCCCACTAATACCTAAAAAAGAGAACAAAATTAAATGTCTAGCACGATTTTGAAAAAAGCTAAGTGAACTTGGCTGTGTTGTATATTAAATCTGTCCTTTGAAAATCACTAACCAGACTTTTTAGATTAATAGATTTTGCCATGCATATTATTTTAAATCGCGTAATTTTGTCTTTTGCCAAGCTGATTGAATTTCTCATTACTGTATTGGAAAAAAATGAATATCTGAGTATCACCACAATGCACAAATTCACGCAGCATCTGCAAAAACCTTTTAAGAGCCAGCAGCCCTCTGCAGAGATTCATTTTCTGCCTGTCAGTGGAAGATCTCCTGGAGCAGAGGATTTACTGGACATCTGTGAAGTGCCATGCTGGCATCTCAAGACTCTGTGGCTGGAAAACAATATGCAGTCGCACACCCAATGTCTTCAGGACACTATGCAAATTCCTACTAACTTTTATAAAGGACTTTCTTTCCTTGTTTCTGCTTCTGACAGTTATACTAAAAAGGTTTCACTGTGATCATTAATCAAAGACAGGCAGATTTAAATCCAGCCGAGAGAGAAATGAAGATTTTAAGGACTGGCCAATATCAAAATTCCAAGAAAAAGAAAAAGAACTTTTTAGATTGAACAAGAAAGCATATGTGAAGAACACTTATAGGTTTGGCTGAGGGATGTACCTCCTCAGTGCTCATCAAATGAGAAGGGTTTTTATGAAAAATAGTATTTCCAAGCTAGAAGATTTATTTTCTGCATTTCCATTTTCTTACTCCATACAGTTGTAACACACACTTTACACTTTTCCCAAAGGAGAACCTACACGGCTGTATGCATGATCCATCCTGAGTGATAACAACTAAAACACTTTTCAGAGGGATTTTGCCAGTTAAAATGCAAGGGGGACGATATCCAGTCTTGAACACTTGCAGTGTAAGACGACTAAGATGAGAATGGGAGGAGATAAATCAGGAAATGTATCAGTTTCACATACAACATCCTATTAGATGTGCTTGCCTGTAAGGAATAAACATGCACTTTGCTTTTGTTTAGATTGTTTAGATGCAAGAAAAATATCACAGCACTTTCCCCATTAGCACTGAAAATAAAACAGCCTCTAGAGGCTCAAATTCTCTCTCTCTCTTTTTTTTTTTTTTTTTTTTTTTTTTTAAATCTTCACACATTATAGGAAAAACTACCTCTGTTGGTGCTAAGGAGGGTGCTACAAATCCAGATTTCTTGTATTGAAATCACATCCCAGGTTGCGGGGAAGGGAAACATTCTCATGTTTTTAGAATACCTGAAGTCTGGCAGGAGCACAGTGCTGCTGATCAGGCTGCTAAATATCTTTAAATCAGCACTGCTACAGCTACAAAGCAACAGAACTGCATTTACACACTCAATCTTCTGGAAATCTGCAGATTTTCTACACATGTGTAGCCTGGGAGGTCAGATACTTCCAGAAAGAAGATGGATGTGTTGCACATGATTGAACCAACAGTCAGGGTGTTTACAGTAAGCACAACATTTCCTGGAATTGAAGAATTTAACATGTACATGCTGCCCAGTTTATTCCTGTGTACACAGAAATCCAAAGTTTTCTGGGAAACGCATCTCAAACTTTGCAGCTAATGCAAAATCTTGTTCTAGAAGTATCAGGGAATTTCATCTACTCTGTCTTGGTAGTTGATGACAGGAAGATCCATCTTACCGGGTTTGGGATTTTCAGGCAACATCAATTTCTGCTGCACTTCACATCCAATTTGTCTGGGGCATATTAACATTGAATATTAACACTCACTAAGGAAACTGGAAAGAAAACTGTAAAGCTTAACATTATTTAGGATGTCCCTACTGCTGTGTACAGAAGCTCTTCTGAATTAACTCTACCAAAACCTGCTTGCACCTACTATAATATTCCTCAGATATCACGGATATCTGGTGGTTTTATTAAGTCATAAATTCGCAAATAGTTTCATACTAACATTAAGAAAATAGTGCATTAATTATCAAGTTATTTTCTTAGCAAGAAGCAAGCAGATCAGTTGACAGACAGTCTTTAAAGTATTAGAAGCTACCTCTAGTCCACGGCATTCTAGCACAAAAATGGGCTTAAGGGCTATAATTGCCTCCCAAATTTCTTCAATGCCAAAAATGGATCTTAAAGTACAGATTTCTAGGGAATCATTCTGATTCATGTGTGTCCCATTAAGAATTCTTTTCAAAATATATGCCAGACTATTCTAGCTGCACAGGAGAAGCCTACCTAAAAACAGTGAATATCTATTGCAAATTTATCAGCTTGATCCACAGAAAGTGCAAAATTCAAAATACAATCCAAAGTCACTTAACATGGTGCATTTTTATTAATTAGTTGGTTTTCATCCATGCTGGATTAGCTTTAGATGAGGTGAATTTGGACATCATCTAAATTTAAATTCAGGAAATGTCCAGCTTGCCTATTCCCATGAGGAAAAGGCAAAGTGAGGGAAGCTCGATTAAGTAAATTTCCCAGGGATAGGCAGAGAAACTGAACCAAAGCAAAGAATTCCATGCAGACCTCTTACAACCTAGGCCAGTTTCCTGTCTAGGGCATCAGTTTTCCATCATCTGGATATGAAATATTCATATAACTATACTATAAAGCTACTGAGCATAACGAAATCATGATACCACCAAAACAACATCTCTCTGCCTTGCGCAGTATAAATCCCTCCCTGTCTCTGCAAAGTGGCACAGATGCTGGAGATTAGACTAGCAAACACTGGCAGAACTAAGAAAGTGCCATCTACAATGGACCTGGCTCCAGCTAAACATATTGCTCTTTTACCAGCATGATAATCTGATTTATGCACTCTACAACCCCCTCCAAACTAAATAAAAACAGACATACACAGAAGCTTGCATCCTCTGGTTGTTACCAGTTACTGACGAGTCAAAATATTTGAAATAGAGATAGCCCTAAAGCACGGGTACATTAGGCAAAACTTGCATCAATCTGTAATCATACAGTAGAAAAAGCATGTTGGAAGTTAAAGGACTTTCTGCTTGAGAAATTAATTTGTAATCTTATGCAGGCAAATATAAAATTGTAAATATTAATATTATCCAATATTCATGCTAATAACGCTTTAAAGTACCCACTGCCCAACAGTTTCAAAAATAAGCCAGTTAAAAATACTCAGATTAACCACAGGTAGCTAAGTAAGTTTTACAAACTAATTAAAATAAATATGATTTAAAACATGGAGCTTGCAGAAGGGTATTTTTTTAAATAATTGAAAACTCAGACTGTTTAATTTTTAAAAGAGCTCCTAGCTGGCTTAAATGAATACTGCTGTGAAATCTGGTTCCTTAGAGGCCTATGGAGAAGAGCTCAGGGCCAGAATTCACATGTTTGAAATGCATTAAGGACAGATTTTTCAAAGCTCTACTCAGTAAGGAGCAGTCAGATCTGCAAGTGTTCCCCACCCAACAACTCCCACAACCAGCAAGATCTCCTCAAGATTTTAATTTCTAATTTTTCAACCTTTCTTGAAAATCTGGTCCTAACAGTTGGTGTTTTCTGTCACTGTGATTCTTACATAGTAAGATACCAACAGTACTGGAAAACCAGAGGTCGGTTGTGCGGGTCAAAGACAGCCTCTGCCCCAAAGATTTTGCGGTGTAATGCATACCATTTACAGGCTGCTCTTCACAAAATAAATAAATAAATAAATAAAAACTATATGTGCTTGAAATGCATCTCATATCTGCCATTTGCCTTTCAGATCTCTCACACTTTCCAAACAAAAACAAGCTGCAAGCCCTTTTCTTCTAAGTCCCTTTTTTAGTTGACATTTAAAATGTTCTTTTTCTTGTGCCCAGCACATCTTTACCTATTGGTTATTTGCTTGAGGAGCTCTGTCTGCGTGGCCTATCAGTGTACCCAGCTGAACTGGATTGGCACTTCTCCATGGGACCTTTTGACACATCTCCTGCGTGTAAATATCGAAGCACTGGAGAATGAAAATCCCTGGAAGTGAGCGGCAAATACCACCAT